ATGGAAGTCAGGGTTAAACAAAGGAGACATTACAAAGGTACTCAAACTATCCAACCAGGAGCGAACTCGTAACACTTCTTTTAAATTAGACAAATTTCGATTTCGGCGTGAAATAGGTAAACACTGGTTTGGAAACAGAGTAGTGGATGAATGGAACAAGTTACCAAATATCATCATTAACTCGAATATGCTGAATAGCATCAAACATAGGTTGGATGCTTATATGAGCAATAGGGGTTGGGTGTAAACGGGACTGCCCAGTATGGGCCAATAGGCCCACTGCAGTTTCCTCCATTCTTATGTTCTTATGTTCAATATTACCTTGTAATTCAATTGACAGTAGGAACATTATAGAATCTAGTCTCATGAAACATACCGAAGCAGTCAACATGAATAGATTACCACGCACCAGCCCTGGTCCTTCGTGACGGGAAAGGCGGTGACAAGCTCGAGAAAATGCAAAATAAAGCCCTCAGAATTATCCAAGGATGTCCCATGAGCACTAAAGTACTTAATATGAGGAAAGAACTAGGTATACCCAGTGTTAAAGATAGAATAATTGAAGTCAACCTCATGATAGCCCTGAGGCTTCTGCGTGGTGATCCTGATAACATTGTTTCCTTAAAATTGCTAGAATGTATGAACCATGGGACTCCCGAGTCTAAATGGATCCAAACTGCAGTTACACATATGAAGATATTTGGACTAGACCACCTGTACAAAGTTGAGACACAACAGCGCTTCCTGCCACCCTGGCGGACAGTTCCCTTCGATATCACAATACCGACGTATCCGCCTAAAAAATTGAATACAAAGCATTTATCTCCAACACACTGCCAAATTGAGAGCTCTTGAACACATACACACTCTACAGACTGATGATAATATGACACAGACCATCTACACTGATGGATCTCTTAACACCGCCTGTGGGAGGTCTGGAAGTGCTATTGTTGTGAAATCAACCTGACGGTAATATAATTGAGAAAGGAGTTAGAATTAACAACTGGGCATCCACTCTACAAACTGAATTAGTTGCCATACTCACAGCTATTAAATTCATTGAAACCACCGTTACTGACAGTCTCATCATCACTGACTCTCTATCCTCACTACTTGCCCTTGGCACCCTCGACTCAGGTTGTGACGCTCTTGTCTCTGAAGCCAGACACAAATATGCGTGCCTTGTTGACCGGGGTGTCAAGGAGAAACGGTTGTGGATCCCCTCTCACATAGGCCTCATAAAACATGACAGAGTTGATGGCCTCGCCAAACTCGCGTCTAACAAAGACATCGTTGAATACAATTTGGGTCTGTCAAAAAGAACCCTTAAAACTGTAATTAGGAAAGAACTTATTGATGAGTTTGACGCAAGTAGACTAGTGCAAACAGGCACTAGTCGATCCATAGGTTACCATGATGAGATGTAGCAAGTGAAACATGTATATGGAGCAAGTAACAAGATCACTAGATTACAAGATGTTGTAACCGCTAGATTAAGGTTAGGATATAAGTACCTTTGGCAGTATGTTCCTCAACCAGATGTAAACAAAACTAAATGTAAAGTGTGTGGCCATACATATGGCCACACATTTGAACACTACCTCGTCGACTGTGTGAAGATAGAACCTTTTAGGGACAGGTCCAAGCACACTGTGTGTGAAATGGCACAACAATTCATCTCTAATGGCAAGATAGCCGACATTAAGATTGTATCCACTTTTTTGCACTTAGTAACTATATCAGTTCTCATGTACAGAACCAAATACGCAATGTGCTTGAATATCTCTCACATAAATGTGAATAACAAAGTGTGAGGCCAGACATACTGCCTCACACGCCTGTACTCACGCATTTGTGAATAAGTTACCCTTTATGTATTGAACTAAACAAATAATGTAAATGAAATACTGTGTAACATTCAGTGCCTTAATATCCTGACAACGGGGGTTAATTATTATGACCCTTTGTAAACTCTACTCTGTAATCCTTTTGCGCTACCGCTCACAGGATGAGTATGGGGTGCACAATAAAGTAGCCGCTGTAAGCGGCAAAATCAAAATCAATCACTCCACCACCCTCACAGCTCACTTCACCATCCTCACAGCTCACTCCACCTCCCTCCCAGCCCACTCCACTCACAGCCCACTCCACCACCCTCACAGCTCAATCCACCACCCTCACAGCTCACTCCACCACCCTCACAGCTCACTCCACCACCCTCACAGCTCACTCCACCACCCTCACAGCTCATTTCACCACCCTCACAGCTCACTCCACCACCCTCACAGCTCACTTCACCACCCTCACAGCTCACTCCACCTCCCTCCCAACCCACTCCACTACGGCAAACAGCACGATGAGTGTGATGTTCCATATACTGAGTGGGAGCTTGACGCCGCCCTCGCCAGGGGTAGGTCTACTTTCCCTGGAGAGGACGGAGTCACCTACAACATCGTAAGACTACTAAGGCGTGTGCCGGGCAATCCATTGTTGGTATTGTACAATATGAGGCATGCCGAGGGCCAACTACCCACATCATGGACCAGCAGTATTGTTGTACCAATACCGAAACCAGGACAGCCTGATGCTTTTCGTCCCATATCATTAACCAGCTGCCTGTGTAAAACCTTTGAGAGAGTGGTTCTTGGGAGACTCTTATATAGAATCAGAGAACACATGTCTTCTAACATAAATGGCTTCACCCATGGTAAAGGTGTACATAATTGCATGCACCACATTTCTTGACCTAAAAGCTGCATTTGATATTGCCAATAGGCAACTGATATTGTTCGAACTAGCCAAAATGGATATAGGAGGTAGGCTGTTACACTGGATAAGTGGTTACCTAACCAACAGAAGTGCTGTTGCACTGTTTCAGGATTACAAAAGTGAAGTTAAAGATTTGCAACTTGGTACCCCTCAAGGTGGAGTACTTAGCAATATCTCAATCAGCTATGCTGATGATATTCTTATACATACTAAAACTCATCGTGAAATGCAAACCTGAACCATGTATACGCAGCCTGTGAGAACCTTGGTCTTAGTATCTCCACTGAGAAAACTAAGGTGTTCAACAAACAAGCTGGTTACCGCAAACGCGGCCGCGCCAAGTTCAAGATAGGTAACAACACTATTGACTATGTTTCTTCTTTTAAATATCTTGGTGTTTCCGTCCCTTCTACCCTACCTGCCATACAACAGCTAACCCGCCAATGTACTGACAGACTGAGACCTCTTAGAAGTGTAGCGGGGTACAGCCCGCACTATGGTGCTAATATTAGAATTGTTAAAACAATGTACCTAGGCTATATAAGCTCTCTGATAGATTACCATGCACCAGCCCTGGTCCTTCGTGACGGGAAAGGCGGTGACAAGCTCGAGAAAATGCAAAATAAAGCCCTCAGAATTACCCAAGGATGTCCCATGAGCACTAAAGTACTTAATATGAGGAAAGAACTAGGTATACCCAGTGTTAAAGCTAGAATAATTGAAGTCAACCTCATGATAGCCCTGAGGCTTCTGCGTGGTGATCCTGATAACATTGTTTCCTTAAAATTGCTAGAATGTATGAACCATGGGACTCCCGAGTCTAAATGGATCCAAACTGCAGTTACACATATGAAGATCTTTGGACTAGACCACCTGTACAAAGTTGAGACACAACAGCGCTTCCTGCCACCCTGGCGGACAGTTCCCTTCGATATCACAATACCGACGTATCCGCCTAAAAAATTAATTATACAAAGCATTTATCTCCAACACACTGACAAATTGAGAGCTCTTGAACACATACTGTACACACTCTACAGACTGATGATAATATCACACAGACCATCTACACTGATGGATCTCTAAACACCGCCTGTGGGAGGTCTGGAAGTGCTATTGTTGTGAATCAACCTGACGGTAATATAATTGAGAAAGGAGTTAGAATTAACAACTGGGCATCCACTCTACAAACTGAATTAGTTGCCATACTCACAGCTATTAAATTCATTGAAACCACTGTTACTGAAAGTCTCATCATCACTGACTCTCTTGCCCTTGACACCCTCGACTCAGGTGTTCACGCTCTTGTCTCTGAAGCCAGACACAAATATGCATGCCTTGTTGACCGGGGTGTCAAGGTCAAACTGTTGTGGATCCCCTCTCACATAGACCTCATAAAACATGATAGAGTTGATGCCCTCGCCAAACTCGCGTCTAACAAAGACACCGTTGAATACAATTTGGGTCTGTCAAAAAGAACCCTTAAAACTGTAATTAGGAAAGAACTTATTGATGAGTTTGACGCAAGTAGACTAGTGCAAACAGGCACTAGTCGAACCATAGTTTACCGTGATGAGATGTATCAAATGAAACATGTATATGGAGCAAGTAACAAGATCACTAGATTACAAGATGTTGTAGCCGCTAGATTAAGGTTAGGATATAAGTACCTTTGGCAGTATGTTCCTCAAGCAGATGTAAACAAGACTAAATGTAAAATGTGTGGCCAGACATATAGCCACACTCGACTGTGTGAAGATAGAACCTTTTAGGGACAAATAATGTAATTGAAATACTGTGTAACATTCCGTGCCATAATATTCTGACAACGGGGGTTAATTATTTTGACCCGTTGTAAACTCGACTCTGTAATCCTTTTGCGCTACCGCTCACCGGATGAGTGTGGGGTGCTCAATAAAGTAGCCACTGTAAGCGGCAAAATCAAATCAAATCACTCCACCACCCGCATAGCTCACTCCACCACCCTCACAGCTCACTCCACCTCCCTCTCAGCCCACTCCACTACCCTTCCAGCCCACTCCACCACCCTCACAGCTCACTCCACCACCCTCACAGCTCACTCCACCACCCTCCCAGCCCACTCCACCATCCTCCCAGCCCACTCCACCACCCTCACAGCCCACTCCACCACCCTCGCAGCTCACTCCACCACCCTCACAGCTCACTTCACCGCCCTCACAGCTCACTCCACCACCCTCACAACTCACTCCACCACCCTCCCAGCCCACTCCACCATCCTGCCTGTCAACTCCTCCACCCTGGTTGTTGTTTGAGATGACGCAGTTGATGGGGAAATGGGCGTACACAGCGCGCATCATCTTGTACTGGAAACCATCAGTAACGCCGGTGACCATGTTGGCAATGTGGCTGCAAACGGTGCACACGGCAGCGACCTCCTTACGGTTTCCGTACCATTTATCCACAGAAACAACGGTACCCTTCTTCACCTTTTGTGTCTTCATGTCCAGCTTCATGTCCTTGAAGTAGCGACGTAGGGTGCCTCTGGGACCCCTTATGGTCACTACACGCTTCTTGACGCTCACTGATATGGTCTTAGGGATGGTCACCGTCTGGGACGTGATGATGGTCTTCATCTTGGACTCGCTTGGTAGACCAATTCCTCGGCCTACTCCACCATCCTGCCTGCCAACTCCTCTACCCTCCCAGCTCACTCCACCACCCTCCCAGCCCACTCCACCACCCTCACAGCTCACTCCACCACCCTCACAGCTCACTGCACCACCCTCCCCAGCCCACCCTCACAGCTCACTCCACCACCCTCACAACTTACTCCACCACCTTCACAGCTCACTCCACCACCCTCACAGCCCACTCCACCACCATCACAGCTCACTCCACCACCCTCACAGCTCACTCCACCTCCCTCCCAGCCCACTCCCCCACCCTTCCAGCTCACTCACAGCTCACTCCACCATTCACCACCATCACAGCTCACTCCACCACCCTCACAGCTCACTTCACCTCCCTCCCAGCCCACTCCACCACCCTCCCAGCCCACTCCACCACCCTGCCTGCCAACTCCTCCACCCCACAGCTCACTCCACCACCCTCACAGCCCACTCCACCACTCTACCAGCCCACTTCACCACCATCACAGCTCACTCCACCACCCTCGCAGCTCACTTCACCTCCCTCCCAGCCCACTCCACCACCCTCCCAGCCCACTCCACCATCCTGCCTGCCAACTCCTCCACCCTCCCATCTCACTCTACCTCTGCTTGCTGTGATGTACAACAGCCTCCTCCATCACCTCAGTGCCCCAACAGGGTTATGAACATCTTATGTTTGTGTGTCATATATTTTTGCGTTTGTGATTGTTGAAGATGGTTGGTGAATGTTATTGACAGAATAATTTATTGTTTGAGAAGCTGTTAATATTTTTCTGGGTGTGTTGTGTTGTTAATGGTCTTGGTGATAATGTCAGGAATGAAATGCTGCTGAGGACACTTACTGTATATTCCATAAGTGTTGAAGCAAGGATGATTAGTCAAGAGTTAATCTTAAGGTCAGGTCAGTGTGTCAGTAGGAGTGCGGCAGCTGAGTGGTCCGTGATTCGAGCCCATATGTAAATAGGTACTTAGCTTTACAATATGATTAAGTACTGTAGGCTTAGTATACAGTGTGATGTGTGCATATTGACATAATGGCAGCCACGCCTATGGGACCTAATTACCTTTTCAGTGTGTCAGTAGTGGTTGATGTGGATGTCTGAATCACATACTTTTTAAACTTCCTAAAATATATAATAATAATAGTTATTATTATTAAACAAAATAGTAATAGCAGTAATGAAACCAGATAATAACAATAACAAATATTCTAGGAAATTTTTTTAACCCCAAATCAATTTTTTTGTAGATAACGAGAAAACTCTGCCTGTCGCCAGCCTGAGTCCATTTCCAGCTTAATGGTGTGTAATAGGTGCAGGAAAGTGAGGCTTTCAGCACCCTTACACCCTTTTAGTCTCCTCTTTCACACACACGAATACCCAGGACCTATTGTAGACCACCCTGGTTAGGATCACCACACCATGGGTAGGATCATCACACCATGGTTAGGATCACCACACCATGGGTAGGATCACCACACCATGGGTAGGATCACCACACCATGGGTAGGATCACCATACCCAGGTGATCACTACACCATGGCTAGGATCACCACACCCAGGTGATCACCACACCGTGTCTAGGAACACCACACCATGGCTAGGATCACCACGCCCTGTATAGAATTACTACACCATGGCTAGGATCACCACACCGTGGCTAGAATCGCCACACCCAGGTGATCACCACACCCTGGGTAGGCTCACCACACCCTGGTTAGCATCACCACACCTTGGCTTCTAGGCTCACCACACCTTGACTAGGATCACCACACCCTGACCATGACACCCACACCCTGGCCATGACCCCCACACCCTGGCCATGACTCACACACCCTGACCATGACCCCCACACCCTGACCATGACTCACACACCCTGACCATGACTCACACACCCTGACCATGACCCCCACACCCTGGCCATGACTCCTACACCCTGGCCCGGATCACCGTCCATCTGAGCAAAGACTACGCTTCCTTCCTTTATATCATCTTAAAAGATATATTTTTATACTTTTACTGTACACTGGAAACCATTATATCATATATTGTCACGTTGATAGAACTAACCATTAGAATAATTATATTATTCGCGTCAAGACATGACCCTGACATTGTCTCTCCCATTGTTTCACCCTAACGCAACCCATGTTGTACCGCTCCCACTCGCTTACCAGATTACTGTTTATCAATTCTACTGGACAAATGTGTTTATGTTTATAATAGAACTGTAAAAGAATAAATGGAAAACGTGGTAACACTTTAATATGTATTTACTAACACCATGTTACATGTAGTTGTCCAGGTGATACTAAATGTTTCCGTCGGAATTGTATATTTTTCGAGTATTTTGATCGATAAAATTACAAACAACATTTCTTGTTAAACTGGGCAGGGCTTTGAAGAAGAGGGAAAATGTGGGGTGAAATACTTAAGAAAAACACTCAATAAACTTTTGAAAACCTGACCTAACGTTTCCTAATCTTTAAAAATCCTAAAACTACAAAAGAAATTACGTTATTCATGCTTTCAGTGTTTAGTATTTGATGATGATGTTTTCGGTTTTTTATTATGCGTTGGTGTTATGATTTTTTCGATGTTCAAATGAGGCGGGATCCACAGACTCGAAAGGGATTCTTAAAATTTTTATAAGTTAGGAAAAGTTAGGTAAGGTTTTCAAAAGTTTGTTTAGAGTAATTTTTATTTTTTTAGTATTTTACCCCCCATTTTCCGTCTACTTCAAAGCCCTTGCCACTGTAAACAAGTACAATAATAATGTTGGTAATTTTATCGGTTAAAATACTCGAAAAATATACATTTCCGATGGAAGAAATATAGAAGAAAAGTGTCTTAGAATTGTCTAAACTACGGATTCCAAAACTTAAAATCATAAAATTCGCTGGATGACCGAAACGATAATAATACCAATATTTGTAATTGTTACATAAGAGGGAAAGAAAAGAAATATTTGAAACACTACGTCGTCATTCCTACTTAAATAAGATAGTCCCAGCTCAAATTCAATTTTCTCTCAGCTTACTATGTGATGTCACCCTAGCTTCACCCCTATCTGTCGAGGGTAGGCCTGATCCTATAGGCCCGAATTCAGAATGTTGGTTTGAAACTGCATGAAGTTTTAAACCAAGGATGGAGCGAAGATTGAAGATAGTTGGTATTCAGAACGCTGGCTCGAGCCAACACAAAGATTCAAACCAGGTTTGAGATCGGATTTGTCGATCCTCGCGTTAATCCAGCCTGGAGGCAGGTTTAGCAGTCAACCCGTCATTCAAGATAGCAAGTCAACATGAATTTTGACTGTATGACAGTGCACTTTTTGGCGATATCGTCAAACTAGAAATTTTGTAGAGAAAAGACTGATGGTAGACAGGCAGAATTCTATAAATTTTTATGATGAAATGCAATTCAGACAACGATATAGGTTCAGCAAGGGAAATTTCCTTGATATTTTCCGTGATATGGAGCATCTACTTGAAAGACCTGTTGGCTATGGCTCACCTCTACCTCCCATTCATCAGCTGATGATTGCTTTGTGATTCCTTGCAACGAATAGTTTCCAGGTAAGAAAGATTCTGGTTACTGAATGAGTTATGGTAATGTATTACAACCCTTTCGTGTTTAGGGTCCATGAAGATCAAGTGGGTAAATGTAAAGAACGCTGACGCTTCTTTATTTTCAGTAGTTTCCATAGGAAAAATATTTTGATGTATTTCCATATAATTGAATCAAAGCTGGGTGCATTTTGACTTTAATGTATTAATAAAGGAAAGTATTTTCTTAACATTACTAATCAGGAGAAATGTGGAGTTGAAAGAACAGAAAGAAACCTAAACTAACCGAACCTAGTCAGGTTACTACGCCATTGATTCATCTTTCTTTGGTTATGAATGTTGCCACCTGTCCCGGATTATATCGACAATTTGTAGGTAATTGTTCTTCTTCTACGAATTTCTTTGTTATCATATAACAACACAGCCACGTTGTAACACAGTGTCATAAATCATTATAATTTGGTCATAATTTGATTGTAATTATAGTAACAAAAGTAACTTTTGATGTGCAAGGAGAGATTTCTCCTCCGCAAAAAAACGGAGTCGAGTCATAGTTGCCACCATAATCTTGTAAACATTACTCTTGATGGTGATTGGCTGTCGTAATGGTGTAACTGAAACGTGATTGGCTGGAATTTCAGTGGTCGAATCCTTGCTCGGAATTGAAGAAAATGCAACAGATTACCCGATCCGCGGTTCAAGCCGATGCAGGAAACCTCGAATAGAGGAGTCCCAATTCGCACGCCTGACCCGAGATCAAATCTCGGGCTCAAACCACCGTTCTGAATTCGGGCCTATATACAGACCTTGGCTTCACCAAATTTTTTTTGTAAATTCATGAGCTGAAAAGCATATTTTGGATTGAAAAATCACTTGATTAATTACATTTGCTACTTTGGTTATCTAAGAGGAGTATATCCATGACGATGTGTGGCGACGAAATGGAAGTACGATGTTGGTGGTAAGATTGGATGTTACATGTTAAGTCATTAATGATCACACTTAACCTGTGCTCCTGTATATGAGGAGAAAAGTAGAAAAAGATGTAAGGAGAGAAAGAAAGAGATATGGGATAAAGGATTATTTAAAACACCCACGGTTTCGATTTCGAATATGTCAAGTGAACCAATAAGCGCCCATCACACTCAGGTTTGCTTTTCACAGCTAATCAATGCTCGGCTCAGCGGAGCTAAGCCCACAACGGGAAGCGGATCTAGTTCCTTGTTTTTGAAACTATTTTTTCGTAAAACCGAATATTTAAAGTGACAATGAGTTCGTCAGAGAGTGACATTGTTGGTGAAAAATGTGGGCGTATGTTAGAAAGAGTTTATGACCCGTCTTTGTGGAAAATGACTGTTACAAAGTCGGATCACAATGTCGTGAGTTGCCGTCCAACGGTCGAGTCTCAC